TTATTTCACTCAGCATAGTGTCCTCCAGTTTCATCCATGTTAGGAGATGCTTCACAGATTCATCATTGTTCTCTCTCGTTGCATAGTACTTCATTGTGTATATGTACCATAGTTTGTTTATCCATTCATCTGTTGATGGGCATCTAGGTTGTTCCCATCTTTTTGCTATTGTGAACAGTGCTGCCATGAACATAGGTGTGCATATGTCTATATGAGTGACGACTTATTTCTCTAGGATATATTCCTAGGAGTGGGATTGCTGGATCGTATGGTGTTTCTATTTCTAGCTTTGTAAGGAAGCGCCATACCATTTTCCAAAATGGTTGTATTATCTTGCATTCCCACTAGCTCATTCTTTTTTTTTAAATAATATTTTATTGTGTTTTCAGTGAAAGTTTATACAGCAGTTTAGGCTCCCACTCAACTATTTCTACACAAGTTGTTCAGTGACATGGGTTATGTTCTTCACAATGTGTGAACATTCTCATTATTTCCATTCTCATTGTTCCATTTCCATTAATCTAGTTGCTCTGCCCCCTTACGTTTTCATCTTTGTTTTAAAGTAATTGTTGATCATTTGGTCTCGTATAGATGATTTTTTTGAAGGAGCACATTACTTACAGGTGATACTATTTTCTGAGCCAGTTTGTTGTTTAGCTACAAGGTGACCTCGGGTTAATTTCAGTTGAAGGTTTGAAAAGTATCTCAGGGCAATAGTCTCAGAGTCCCTCAGTCTCAACCAGTCCAGTAAGTCTGTTTTTTTTTAAGGAATTTGGGATTCTGTTCCACATTTTTCTTGCATTCTGTCAGGGTCTATCCATTGTGGCCCTGATTAGAATGGTAGTGGTAACTGGGCATCATCTAGTTCTTCTGGTCTCAAGATAGATGAGACCGTGGTTCATGTAGACTGTCAGTCCTGTAGACTGTTTCTTCCTTGAGTCTTTAGTTTCTTTCTTTCTCTTTTGCTCTGGATGAGTAGAGACCAACAGTTGTATCTTAGCTGGCTGTTCACAAGCTTGTAAGACCCCAGTTGCTAATCATCAAACTAGGATGTAGAACATAACTTCATAACTATTTTATGCCAGTTGACTGAGATATCCCCATAGGGGTTTTCAGTGGCTGGTTTTTTGAAAGTAGATCGCTAGACCTTCTAGGTGCCTCTGGGTGAGTGCCAACCTACAGCCCTTTGGTTGGCAGCCAAACGCATTAACCATTTGCATCATGCAGGTACTCCAAAGATATATAGGAGTACTTTTGATGTTTAATGTTTATGTGTAATCACCTGAAGTCCTATTCATAATGATAATCCAAAAATATAAAATACCCAGAAATACAGTACTCTTAAAAAGAAGTGAAGAAAACCATAAAGTCTGCTTGAAACCAATTTGACTACATGGAGATGTAGTGATAGTCTTGGGTAGGAAAACTAAATACTATGCATACTTCACTTTTTCCCAATCCAGATCCCAAAGAAAATTCAGAAAAAGAGAGTGAGTGAGTACGTACTAGCTTTTCTAGAGATTGAACTACTAGAAAGCTATGATAGTTAAAAATGTGTTAATAGACAAAGCAAATGTATGTGATAAAATTATTAGCTTGTAAATAGACTGCATGATATTAAAAATTAATATATAATAAAGATATTACACACAAAAAGGGAATTGCTTCAACAGCTGACCAATAACATGAAAAAAATCAGTTTAGATACTCTTTTTACGCCAGCAAAAATGAATTCACATGGGTTAAAAAACCAAGAAAAGGGAGAAAATGACAGAAAAATAAAATGGAATATGTTGACCTCTGCAAAGAGATTTTTTTTCCAGGTGTAGAAGTTATACAATAAATTATGAAGGAAACTACGGGCAGATTTGGCTATATAAATTAAAACTTAAATGGAGAGCTAACATGCTTGGAAAATATTATGAGAAATGATTAATGTCTGAATTAGATAAATGGCACCTAATCAAATTTTTTTAAAAAGTAAGAAAATGAAGATTCCCAGTACATAATTTGGTGAAGGAACGCAGCTGCTTAACAGGTGTAGGAGAAAACGTTCCAACTCACTAAGTTAAGCTGAAAAGTTAAGTAATTAAATAATGGTATACCATTTTATTAGCAAGGAGAAAAAGAATTATTTTGCTAACTGAGGTTCGATCAGAGGACACTTACAGTATGCTTTGGAGAGCAATTAAGCAGCTTTTTTTATGTGCCTTAAATGTTTTTATACTCATGATCTCCAAGAAAATAGTAAAATAATATAAAGAAGAGTTTCATCTGAAAAGATGCCCATTACAATATTATTTATAACTGCTCCCAAAGAGAAACAAATGACAGCTGTAGAGAGTGATCAAGTGAACGTAAGGCTTGACACATCCGTTTATGGACTCTTAACCCATTGCTGTCAGGTCAATTGCGATTCATAGGGATCCTACAGAATAAAGTAGAACTGCCCCATGGGGTTTCCAAGGAGCAGCTGGTGGATTTGAACTGCCTACCTTTTGGTTAGCAGCCATATGCTTAAGCATTGCACCACCAGGGCCCTTATGGCCTATTAGGCCACTGTTGAAAATGAAGGTTATAAAACTTGATGTAACATGAGGAAAATGCAGGTAAAATAGAAAAGCATATATGCAAAATATAAAAATACCTGTAAGAAAAGAAAAAAAGACTACCTGGAAATATAACAATAACAACAAAGTAATAGGGCTATAAATTGATAAATTTTTTTGGTCTTTTTCTCTGAAATCTGCCCAGGTACTACCTTTGCAAAGCAAATAAAATATAATTCAGTGTATTTCCTGTTCATTGTATGTTTTTTGCTCTTTGAAAGTTAACTTGTTTGTGTAGCAGTAAGGGAATGAAATGTTTCAGTTTGTGTAGCAGTAAGGGAAGGAAATGTTTCACAAAAGTGAATTTTCTAGGTAACCGTAACTTTATATTACTTCAAAAGAAAATTCAAGAGAAGAATTTTTAAACCTTTTGTTGGAGATCTTTTTAAAATGTATGAGTTTCCTTACATATTAAGCAGATATTGTTTGTTATTACTTGGTCTCAATAGATATGTTGGTTGATACTGTTTTGTGTGAAATGTAGTAAAAGAAAATTTAGTTGCATCTAAATTCCCAGATGTCTTGTTTGTTTGGTCTGTCTTGTTTTAGTCTGTTAAGTATTACTTATTTGTGTCTTTAATAACTTCAGTACTGTTTCTGGTTTGTTGCTCCTAATTTGCTGGGATCTTAGAAACAATAGGATTAAGTTTATGAATCTTCCCATAAACAGGAGTTCAGTTTTAAGAGAGCAGCTGTTTTTGACCTTGAGAGTATATGTCCCACTCTTGCGCTCATATAATTACTTTATTTGGGTAGGGGTAAGAGGCTTAGTTACTTTGGTATGGAAATAAATGAAGTTTATTTCATTTGTGAAGTTTATTTAATTAACACTTTGTATCAAATGTGCTAGGAGTCTAAGGTGATATTACATTATAGGACTAATTTTTCCATTTAATTAACCTATGACTACTATTGCCATTAAAAACTATAGATTTGGATATGCTATCTCCATGTTGGTAGATGTTATTTGTAGTAAATGAAAGAACAGAATTTTCATTTAATGATTTTTTCCATAACTGAAAATAGGCACTTGATGACAGTAACCAAATGAATGTCGGTTCAGCTAAATTTTTGTTTTAGGATAGGAATTCTTTAAAATAGTCTAAAATTAATTTACAGAGCAATTTTGCTTTGCATTCATAGGCTAAGAGGTTGATAGTTAATGATTATTGGAATATGTTCCTTTTGGATATTTGAAAACATTTAACCTAAAAAGAGGGTGGAAAGGTGACTATGTATACCTGCCCTACAGGGAGCCTGGGGGAAGAGGGACATGTGTGAGAAGTGTACACAAACAGCAGTATGTGGTGAAGAGTGCCAGAAGAGAAGTGCAAAGTGCTCTTTCCAGACATCACTTCTGAATAAGGGTGTAGTGCAATTAGGGAAGGCTACATGATGGAGGTGGTGGTGGTATTTGAACTGATCTAGGGAGATGGTGGGATTGCAGTAGGAGTTCTAAGGCAGCCCAGGTAGAGGGCATGGCTTGAGGTAAAAGCAGAGAATTAGGAATGTTTCATTGGTATTCAGGAAGTGGGAAGTTATGCAAATTGAAATGACTCCAGCGGGAGTAAAAGGTGTAATCTCATTTAAACATTCAATGAAGACATACTATGTGCCTGATACTGTTCTAGGTATTGTCTGGTAAAGCTACAAAGACGCCAAAAGCGTCTTGACTTTCTTTGTTGTTGTTCTTTAAGGAGCCAAATAAGCCTTTTGAGCCAGAATGTGCTATTGTCTCCTTTAGGAAGTAACACTAATTAATTGTATTAATTATCATATTATGTTACGTGTTATATTAATAATGATACATTTTAATAGTAATAATAGTTACTATGTGCCAGGAACTGTTGTAAGGGATTTATATGGATTCATTTTTTAAATCCTTATAACACCTCTGTGAAGAAAAAAAACACTTAAGGGTTAAATATTTGCCCAAGTTCACACAAAGGGGCTCCAATGGAAACCCAGCAGTCTGTCTCCAGAGCCCATACTCTTAACCAGGAAAATAAATCTGATAGCAGTGTAAGGAGTTAATTAGAAAATGGTCACTATAAGCAGAGAAACCAGTTAGGAGACTGTTACCAGAATTTAAGGAAAAGGAAATAGCAAGGAGATGAAAAAGTAGAAACAGTTAAATGGAGGAAAAGGAAGGTATTTGTTTTAGGGTGACTCCTGAGCATCTAAATGTATGTATTCATCTAGTCTAGGGCAGGCCTGTTAGTTATCCTGAAGTGGCCTATTAGGGGGCAGGACATTGATCACCTAAAAGCTCTAAGAGAGTGAGTTAATGATTGTGTAGTGTGGCAGAGTGGTTGAACATTTGGCTGCTAACCAAAAGGTCGACAGTTCGAATCTGCCAGCCACTCCTTGGAAACCTTATGGGGCAGTTCTGCTTTATCCTATAGGGTTGCTGTGAGTCAGAGTCAACTTGATGGCAGTGGGTATGTATGTGGGGTTGCATGTGGCTTTGTTGATGTACGTTAGTGGTTTGATAACTTGAGAATGGAACAGTGTAAAATAAGTAGTGGAAGTTGGGAATTTGATATATTTCAAAGTTTGCTTTGGCTTTGTAGTCTAGTCTAGAAGTGGAGAACTCAGGACTAGATTAAGTAGATCCACCTATTCCATCTTTTATACCCCGAAGCTCTGGGATGGGCTAGAAATGCAAGGTGATATAGTGACCCCAAAACACCGAGCTTTGTGCAGTCAGTCGATTTCAACTCATGGTGACCCCATGTGTTCCAGACTAGAACTGCGTTTTCAAGGCTGTGACTTTTCAGAAGCAGATAGCCAGACCTTCCAAGGTGCTTCTGGGTGGGATTGAACCACCAACCTTTTGGTTAGTAGTCGAGTGCTTAACCTTTTGCACTACTCAAAAACCAGAAAAACCCATTGCTACTGAGTCGATTCTGACTCTAAGAGCACCACTCAGGGACTCCAGTATAATGAAAGTGCTGTTTAAATAGGTATTTAAAGTAATAGTTTTTCTGACTTAAGTGAAATTGAGATCAACCATAAGACAGAAGAAAGAAAATTATTTATGCTGGTAAAATTAGTTTCATTGATATATTCTTATGAATTCTTTCTAAATGAGTAAGATAATACTTTATATTATTCTAAATGAATAAGATAATAAACTTTTATTTCCCCTTATAGAACGGCATTCACATGTTCATTTTGTAAATTTCGAACGTTTGAAGAAAAAGATATTGAACTGCATCTGGAAAGTTCTTCACACCAGGCAACATTAGATCATATTCAGAAACAAACCAAATTTGACAAAGTAGTTATGGATTTTTTGCATGTAAGTAGATATTTTTGAGGGGGGAAATGCCTTATAATTTTGGTTTTTCATAATTTCCCATCCCTCTCCCATTTTATGTTTCTAAAATTTACTATTTATTTAAAGGAAGAACTGTTTTAAAATAAGCCCAGTATTAGATGTGAATTCCTCTATAATAGAATTTGGATTTGTTATTTGAGAATACATTTTACATTTTTAAGTGATTTCTGGCAGACATGTCAAAGAGGCAGTTCCTTTAATAACTGTTTAGTGATGCAGATTCAGCTATCTTTTGAGAGTGTACTGCGTATCAGATGTTGTGCTAGGTACTTTCATTATTTCATTTGAACCTCATAACAACTTGTTTTTATGATGAACGAACATGCTCAGAGAAGTTAAAGGACTCTGTCACTAAGTGGCAGAGTCTGAATTTAGAGCCAGAGAGCCTGCTGTCTGTTTAGTGTCCTTTCTGTTAGGAATGTGTGGTCATCAGCTCAGTAGTTTTTGAGTACCTACGAAGGGTACTATGTCAGACACCGACGACACAGACGCTATCCTCAATGAATGAACAGTAATTGGAAATAGACTACATTCACACATAATTAAGTGACATAATTAAGTGAAAATGCCAAGGATGCATGGTACATACAGACATACTAAGAGTTTGGAGAAAGGGAAGATCATTGGGACCAGAAATACTTGAAGGAAGGGGCTTGAGCTGGATTGCTAATTGTGTGTCTGATTAATCTGGGCAGAAGAGGTGGAATTATTAGAAGGTTAGAACCATACTGTGGTCATTCACACGTCTATATCCTTGCAGAATTGTGTTCCTTAATTCGCATTTCTTTCTGTAATTTCCTTAACTGGTTCCTATCTGTCACTTCGAATTTAAACACCCACCTATCCTGAGAAAACCTCTTGACTATTCCAGCTCTTTTTGATCTATCTTTCTCTGTATGCCTAAAGTACGTTTGGAAAAGTGAATATTTTTTATACTTTCCTAGTTTTTTTGATAGTCTTTTGAATTAAATTGTAGGCTTCTTGAGAGTAGATGCTAGTTTTTATACTGTATTTTCCATAGAACCAGCAGGTGCTAAGCATATCCTAAGTGCTCATTGAAAACTTTTGGATTCTGATCTATGAAATCCTACTATTTTGTTTTGTAGGAATGTATGGTGAATAAATTCAAGAGAACATCTATCCGTAAACAACAGACAAATAGTCTAACAGAAGCAGGCAAGATAATTGATAAAGATGCTATGGAAGGTAAATGTTTAAACACACTGCTTTAGAAATCACATGTGGATTTTACATAATATAACCTATTGCAATGTAAATGATGCTCCTTGGAGTGGTACAGTGTAGTCGTATGCGGTAGCCCTGAGTGGGTATCAGAAATTAACTCCTTTGACTTCCTGTTTTTGTGCTTAAAATTTGTCTCTACGTATCCTTATCTCCTTCACTTCAGTTTTAGAGGAAAAGTCATAGCCCTCTGCTTTCCTCTGCCTCTCATCCCTTCTCATCTCCTTACGGATTTTTGCTCAGATGGTAAACTTATCTCTTCTGTTTTTCCATCTTTCCTTCTCTCTTGATTCCTTCTCTGAAACGTATGAGAAACTGGTTGTTGTCGAGTCAGTTCCAACTCATGGCAACCTCTTGTATCAAAATAGAACTGTGCTGCATAGGGTTTTCAGTGGCAGACTTTTTGGAAGTAGGTCACCAGGGCTTTCTTTCCAGGTGCCTCTGGGTGGACTTGAACCTCCAACCTTTTGGTTAGCAGCTGAATGTGTTAACTGTTTGCACCACCCAGGGACTCCCTGAAGCCTATAAACATGCTCTTATTATTTAAAAAAAGGAAAAGAAAAAAAGGAAGGAGAGGAAAAGAAAAGCAGGTACTAGTTCTTCTAAAACCTACCGTTTCTTTTTCTCTTTAAACAACCAGTCTTCTTCAGATGTAGTTCACATTAGTTTCTGCTTCCTCACTTACCATTTATTACTTTACCCATAGTAGTCTGCTCTGACAGAGGTTACCAGCACCAACTTCAATAGTTTCTTTCGAATCATTATCTTTCTTCTGCAACAGTTTTCATTGACAAATGCATTCTTTGTGAATCTCTTTACTTTCTTGGTTTCTGTGACACCTTTCTGTCCTAATATTCTCTTTATCCTCTTGTCATTTTTAGTCTTTGGGCTTTTTTTCTATACCAGTCTTTTAAAAGTTGGTATTCACCAGTACTCTGTCATTACCCCAGTCATCATCCCTTTCCTGATTAATTCATCCTTCGTGATTAATTCATTTACTTATAGTAATATGTATATGTTGATTACTTATAAATCTATATGTTAGCACAGATCTTTTCCTTTTTTTTTAAATTTTATTGTGCTTTAGGTGAAAGTTTACAGCTTAAGTTAATTTCTCATTCAACAACTTATACTGTTTTGAGACATTGGTTGCAGTCTCCACAATGTGACAACACACTCCCCCTTTCCATCCTAGGTTCCTTGTGTCCGTTTGTCTAGTTCGTGTCCTTTCCTGCCTTCTCATCTTGCTTTTGGACAGGAGTTGCCCATTTGGTCTCATATATTTTATTGAACACGTTCCTCCCGTGTGTTGTTTTTTGTTTTATAGGCTTGTCTAATCTGTGTCTGAAAAGTGGGCTTCAAGAAAGGTTTCATTTCTGGGTTAGCTGAGTGTCCGGGGGCCATAGTCTTGGGGGTCCTTCCAGTCTCTGTCAGACCAGTAAGTCTGGTCTTTTTTTGTGAATTTGAATTATGTTCTACATTTTTATCCCATTCTGCCCACGATTCTCTCTTGTGATCCCTGTTAGAGCAGCTGCTGGTGGTAGCCAGGCACCATCTAGTTCTTCTGGTCACAGGCTGGTAGAGTCTCTGGTCATGTGGTCCTTTAGTCCTTCGGGCTAATATTTTCCTTGTACGTTTGGTTTTCTTCATTCTCCTTTACTCTGGACGGGGATGGGACCAATAGATGTATCTTGGATGGCTGCCCTCAAGCTTTTAAGACCCCAGGTGCTACTCACCAAAGTGGGATATAGAACATGACCTGGATTACCCTGGAGACTGTTCCCTAGCCCCAGCTACTCAGTCCCTCAGAGTGTTTGGATGTGTCCAGGAAACTTCTGTGCTTTTGCGTTGGTCCAGTTGTGCTGACTTTCTATGTAATGTGTGTTGTCCTTCCCTTCTCCGAACTTGATACTTGTCTACTATCTAGTTAGTTATTCCCCCCATCCCCAAACCATCAAAGAATGTTTTTTTCTGTGTGTAAACCTTTTCTTGAGTTATTACAATAGTGGTCTCATACAGTATTTGTCCTTTTGTGAGTGACTTATTTCACTCAGCATAATGCCCTCCAGATTCATCCATGTTGTGAGATGTTTCGCGGATTCATCATTGTTCTTTATTATTGTGTAGTATTCCATTGTGTGTATGTATCATAATTTGTTTATCCCTTCATCTATTGATGGGCATTTAGGTTAGCATGGATCTCTTTTCAACTCTACTCCTATACATCTAACTGACAACTCGTATCTAAAAAATTTATCGTCTTGTACACTCCCCACCTTCTTAAAGAAAAAACAAAAACTCAGCAAATATTTCCTGCATTTATCTTAGAAGGTGGCCCCACCATCTGCCAAAGCCAGAAGTATGGAATTATTCTAGGTACAGAGACACTTCGGAAGATAGGCCTGGTGATCTGCTTTTGAAAGGTCGCAGCCTGGAAAACCCTATGGAGCAATTCTCTGCACTCATGGGGTCACTGAGTTGGCGAAGACAGCTAACAACAACATATCCGTAGCACTATATCCTGTCAATTCTCTTTTAAAAATATTTACCAAATTGGTTTACCTTCATTTTAATATTGCATTTGTTTAAATCCGTATCTTTTAACAATTGTAGTATTTTCCTAACTAGTTTCCTTATTTCCAGTCTTTCTTATCCCCAGTTCTATATGATCTTATTAGTGAAAGAACTTGGGATGGCTTCCACATCACCTACAGGATAAAGTACAAATTCCTAGACGTGACACACAGATTGCTCCATTATCATCTTTTGTCCTTTCTTTATACTCCAGCTATACTGAATAACTTACAGTGACCAGAAAGTGTCATTTTCTTTGATACCTTTCTCCTTGCATATATTAATATCGTTACCTGTAATAAATCCCTCTCTCTTAAGATCCAACACGTTTTGTTCTTTATGAATCCAATTTTGACATCTTTTCCCCCATTCCCTACTTACTTTTATTCATAATTATGGAAGTTCTTATTTTTCTATAAAATAATCCAACGTTTGTTTTCCTTTATGTTATATTTTTGGGGAGATGGACTTATAAGCCTTAGAGCATGATTGTATAACATGACTAGGAGATACAGTAATTGCACTTTGTAACTTCTAATCTGCTATCCATATATTTTTAATCTATATATGCAGGTTTATGAGATGTGGTAGAAAAACTTAAACCTACCGTATTTTTTACACAAATAATGCACACCTACGTTTGTTTGCCAACCGTACCCTCCCCCTCCATGAGGTGTTTTTGTAAGTGCGCTATGCTAATTGTTTTTTTTTAAAACAGTGAAAGTAAAAATATGGTAAATATTCTGGTCCTCTTTTTTGAAGAAGAGTTGTAAATAATTGGGGAAGCTTTAGTAGTAAAAACACAGTCTGTCAGACACAAGAACGTGAATCATTACTTTTCTTTAATAATAGGATTTCTTATTTAGGTGTTACTGCAGATGATCACATGATGAAAGTAGAGACTATTCACTGCAATGCCTGCAGCGTGTATATCCCTGCTTTACATAGTTTAATTCAACAGCACTTAAAATCTCCTGATCATATCAAAGCAAAGCAGGTAAGTTTTGATCTGTCTTAATAAATTCATTGACTTACCCATCAGTCCTTTATTATTCTTTGGCCATTGTTTCACACCTACCTACTTGCATATAATTTCTCTTTACCTCAGATAACTATAAGGATACTCAGAGGGAGTGTAGTGTTACTGATTAAGATCATGAGCTCTGGAACAAGACTTTCTGGGTTGAATCCTGGCTTAGTACATAACAAGTGTTAAGCAAGTAAATTAACCTTTCTAAGTGTCAGTTTCCATTATCTATAAAATGGGGATGGATAATTATTATATTCTCTTATGTGATTGTTTAAGGATTAGATTAATTAAAAAACATATAAGACACTTAAAATAGTACTGGCACATAGCATTTAGGAAATCATAACTGTTATCATTAACATTTTTTTAAAGTTGGTATTAAATGGTTTTGTGAGTGTGTATGTTTAAGAGCATAAAATGAAGATTTGATGATAACTGGTACATTTTTCTGATGGTTTGGAAAAATAAATTTGAAAACTAAGATTACCAGTTAACCATCTATTGTCATTTTTTTTGAGCAAAATATCACTGGAGACTTTACCATTTTCTTTTTGATTAGCATATTTCTGCTTCTATATTGGCTGGTTTTATTTAGTCAAATTTATTTTAAACAAAACACTTGTTTATATTATTGGGAGTTAGTTTGTTTGAAATGAAAATTTTTAAACTTCAAAATTAAAGACTTATATTTTTAAACAGAGCATACCTGAGTCGTGAATTTGTATTTTGTACTGAAGTGAAACTCATTTAGCTCAGACTTCTTCTAGGCACTTCCAGCACAGTCTTTTCTTAGTCTTTTGTTTTTTCTCTTCCCTTTTTGATACTCACTTGCCACCTTTTTGGCAACTAGACATTCCATATTATTACCTTTTCTCCTTTGCATAATAAAGTCTTGTGATAACAACAGCCCAGAGGAAGACTAAGTACTCTTACAGTATAAAAATCATTGTTTCTTTTTTGATAGCAGGAAAATTAGTAGTTGGAATAGTTGGGGTCTGGGGAGATGGATATAGACTGGAAAGGAGAGAAAGCAGCTCTCTAGTAGACCTACACTTCTGTTATTTGGGAACTGGGTGTTTTTTATTGAAGCTGATTGGCTTATAGAATTGTCATTGCTTTAATCCATAGATAATTTAGATTGTGGTAACTGTAGCTGTTGTTGCTCTATAGCTTAATTTGCCAGAAAATAAATCATTTAAATCTAAGGGATTTGAACATAAAATGCTGTTTTAATTATATAAATATTTTTTATGGCAGGTACTATCAGTGTGTTCTGTTTTTCACAGGCTTATAAGGAACAAATTAAAAGAGAGAGCGTCTTGACTGCTACAAGCATTTTAAATAATCCAATAGTGAAGGCGCGATATGAACGTTTTGTTAAGGTAAGATTTTTGGGCAAAGCCTTTTAGGTAATATTGTGGTATCACAATATTAAACGGTGAAATAGTAGATCTTTGTTATATTTAAATATAGTACACCATACTAGGAAAGTTTTTACTTGGGGTCTTGCATATAGGTAAAACATCTCTTTTCCTTATTGCTGGGATTCGGTTGAAAGGGGAGGGGGAGTGGGTGGGGAGCAATAAATGAGTCCTCTCTCCTCTCCTTTCCAGCTCTAGCTCAGTTGAGAGATACACTGGAGTCTGATACAAGATGAAAATGTCAGCTTTATTCTTGATTTAAAAAAAAAAAAAATGGATGGCTTAGAGTATATGTCTTAGATGTGCAGTTACTGTGTGCTTTCTAATATTTTACTCCTGAATTAGATAGACTAACTTCCACCTACCCCTGTCACTAGTCCAGCTGGACAGAAAAGGCTCCCCCTAGTTTACCACATGGCATAGAACAGACTGTAATGTACTCTTTCTGTGGTTAGCAGTACATAAAGGAGAAGCCAAGGAACTGAGGTATACATGCCTAGTTTCTCCTTTCAAGTGAACTAATTGGATAAATCATTCATCTTTCTTGGATAAAAGTTGGAGGGGAGGCAGGAGGCACAAAGTCAGATATGTTGCTCCAGAAAAAGCTCCCTCATGGAATCAGGAGGCCAGAAGAAAGGAAGTTTGCTCCTAATGTTAGGAAACCCAGATTGGAACCCTGGCTCGCCACTCTTCAGGATTTTTGCAACGTGTTACTGCTTTAATCCTTCTTTACATAATATTTATTATTGCACAAACAAGGAAATTCACAGAAATAAATTTTAGAGGTTTTTGAGTCTTCATAAAATAATACCTTACTTAAAATCATTTCTACACTGAAGAGAGCTCTTATGTTGAAGATTTACAAAATATTACATACATTAGTAACTGAATCTACAAAATGAGATTGAAGAAGTTTTGTTTATTTTGGCTGTTGTACTCCGTGAAGAAGCCTGTCATATATTTAATGACCATTCAGTTAGCCCTCAACCAAGTGATCTCCATGTTGAATAATCTCATTTCTTTCAGCTTGTTCCTTAGGGGCCTGTTTTCTAATTTGTTAATCATATTTTTCACCATTTACTCCATTTTTGACACGACTTTAAAAAAATGAATGCAGCCCTGAATTAAATCTGATTTTATTGGAAGTATGGAATCAGAATGAGGCGCTGGCAGTTTAGCGGTAGAATTCTTGGCTTCCATGTGGGAGACCCAGGTTAGATTCCTGGCCAGTGCACTCCGTGCGCAGCCACTCCCTTTCTGTCAGTGGTGGCTTGCCTGTTGCTGTGATGCTGGGTAGGTTTCAGTGGAGCTTTTAGACTAAAATGTATTAGGAAGAAAGGCCTGGTGATCTACTAAAAATTTAGCCACAAGAAAGCCCTGTGGATCACAATCATCCAATCTGCAACCGATCATGGAGATGGCACGGGAACAGGCACTGTCCTGTTCCGGGGTGTCACCTTGGGTCGGGGGCCAACTCGATGGCAACTAATGACAACATGGCTTCAGAAAGACAAGAGCATCATAGCTAAAATCTAAAAATTAGATTTACATCTTGCTTTATCACAACCTTTTTAGAAGTCACGGTTTCTGTTGACATACGAAAAGTTTTTAGTCAGGGAAGAATACAAATTAGAATTTCTATGTAAGGTTTTTAAGCTACACATGAGAGTCACTTTGTGGAAGGAGTGACATCACTGGTGTGAGTGTCTTGCTCATGTGCATATTGTGGAGAAGACCTGGACTGACGAGCACTTCTCTAGAACCTTGATACTCTGAATGTGATACATGGACCACAGCATTGGCATCACCTAGGAGCGCATTAGAAATGCAGAATTTCAGGTCATACCCAGGCTTACTGAATAAAAATCTTAATTTTAACAAGATGCCAGTTGATTCATATGCATATTAAAATTCAGGAATCACTGGTATAGAACATTCTGTCACATTATCCAATTATTTTTCTTTGTTCAGCATTCCTGTCTGTTCTGTCCTCTGCAATCATTCTTCATCACCTGCTCTGCTCCTGGTCAACTCTGGTCATGACTTAAAACTCTTCTACTTTCAAGAACTCTCAATTTGACAAAATACCCTTTTTAATCTTTGTCCTCATCAAGATAATCAGTTGTCAATTTCTGCCAGTTCTCCAGCTGTATCATCTGTTACACCTTCACTTTCTTCCCTCCTAGGCCTGTACACTCATAGCCAGCCCTTTCAGCAACACAATGCTGCTGTTGTAAAATCCCTTACTCATTTGTTCTTCCACTGCTTCCCAGTCCCCGGCACTATGCCATCTGTGTTTAGCTTTATTAACTGTGAATCTTGCTAAAAAATATCATGGAACTGTGTCTGTCCTGTTTATCAGCTGCAGTTCTCAGTAATTATTAGCTATCATGTAATGTGTTTCCTATAATTACTGTTCCAAATCTTTTCCATCCTTATCATATCCCAGATTTTATCCTTACTCCCCTCACTTCCCATATTCTTATCTCTTCTTTAGTGAGATTCTTATCTTCTTGCTTTAGTGAGATTGAGACCATTTGATGTGAGTTCAGTAAGTTTTCCCCTTTCTACTTTAGATTTCTGTATCTTTCCCTCAGTCCCACCATCATTGTTGTTTGTGTGGGAAGATATTCTTCTTTGCCTTTTATCTGTGTTCTTGTTTCATCAGTTATCCTTACTTCTGTCTGCATTTTTTCCTGTTTAGTATTTTTCTATTCTTCCCCAAACAGATGTGCTTGTGAGTTCCCTAACCTAACAGTGACTTAACTTCTCCTAGACTCTAGCATTCCCCATTTCATTTTCTCTTCTCTGGCCACCATACTTGAAACAGTAGGTCACTCTGCATTGTGCTCTTTATTCCCTCTATATTATTTACTCTTTAACCTAGTAGTTTTTAACTGGAGGTATGTGTTAGAATCTCCTGTGAGGCTAAAATCAAATAAAAAGCTGCCTAGGTCCTTTCTCAAGCCTTCTGAGTTAGGGTGTCCCAAAACTCTGATAAATACCTCTTGAAATACTTAAATAGGCAAGTAACCAGGCTTCTCCCCTGGAAGTTCTGGATCAGGAGGTCTGAGATTGATTCAGAAATTTTTGTTTTCAACAAGGACTCTAGTACTAAATTAAAAACCTGGTTTTTGAAAGCACTTCACAGGGGAAAAAAAGATTGATTCTTAGGCAACCATTGCTGTCTAACCCCCACGTGCATCATACTTCTGAAGCTGCTGTAAGATGACCAGTGACCTAATTGCCAAATCTAAACTTTTTATTGTTTATTACTTTATTATTTTAAACATACAAAAAGGAAAGGGGATAGTATAATAAATCGTCAGGAACCCATCACTCAGCTTCAACAGTTACCACCTCCAGTGGCCTTTTCCACTTTCTGCTGTTACCTCTTTGTGTCATTCGACACCAATGATTAATCACTTATTCTCAAAACTCCGTTCTGCCAGATAATATTTTATCATCCTAGATTTTCTCCTACATTGAGTGTTTCTTCTAACTTCTGCCCCCATGTGTAGGCATTTTCATAGAATTTTATTCTTGGCTCTTTTTCCTACTTATTTTCCTTCTCCCACTGCAGTGCTATCCCACTTAAGACCCTGGCTTCACTATTCACGCTGTGCAGACAACTCACAAATTGTAATGTCTTGCTTTGAACTTCCCTTTCTTTTGAGTTACAAGCTTACATGTATAGTTGCCTGTTAGACATTTAGACAGCATCTTAAATTCTGATTATCTATAGCATATACCTTCTTTCCTTTCCCCATCCTAATTCATGATGTCACTACGTCTTTTAAACTTCCCTTTCCTGGGCTGTGAGTGTAGCGCCCTCACTAGTGTTCCTTCTCTTGCTACTCCAGTTCATCCTGCACGTTCCTACCAGGTTCACGTTAACACTTTCCTGCTTAATAACTTCTACTTCCTCGTTTTTTTACTGTATTATAGCCTTTTGTTATGGTTAATTTATATGAGATTTAATCTAGGTATATAATTTAAATATTAAAGTAAAATGTTATCTATGAATGCTTAGTGAGTAAAAGATTTGTCTGCTTTTTACCAGTACAAGTATAGGTATAACAAGTACCTGATTTTCATTTGTGTTTTAAATAGATCTTAAAACAGTTGTACGTTAAATACTTTTTATAATCAAGTAGAACATAAATCTTTGCATCATCTGCTTTGTTTTTACCAAAAATCGTATATTTACTTTTATATATATGATTTTAGAAGTTTAGTTAAGGAAATGAGGTCTTTAGTAATCCGATTTATGAAGTATAAGGTAATGACTTAGTAATTTATATATCTGCATTGGTATGAAATAGGCACTCAAAAAATATTTAATGAGTATGTCATAGTTAGAGTAAAAGGCTTCAAATAGAGGTTATTTTTAAGGATTTAGCAAATAAAAAGTTCACTGATACAAAAATGGATGTGCTGATTTTAAAAGTTACTTCTCATGTTTTTAGGGTGAGAATCCTTTTGAAATTCAAGATCATTCTCAGGATCAGCTAATAGAAGGAGATGAGGAAGAAGAAGAAAAGATCGATGAAGCTATTGAAGAAGAGGATGATGAAGATGAGGAAGAAGAAGAAGAAGTGGAGGAAGTAGAGGAAGTGGAAGAAGTAGAGGAAGTTGAAGGAGTAGAAGGAGGGAGGGATATAGAGGGAGTGGGGGAGGTAGAGGGAGCTGGAGAGGTAGGGGGAGCCAGGGAAGATGGGGGAGCCGAGGAACTAGGGGGAACTGGAGAAGTAGGGGAAGGTGAAGAAGTAGAGGAAGCTGCTGGGGAGGTAGGGGGAGCAGGAGAAGTAGGGGAAGTAGAGGCAGTAAGGGAAGAAGCAGAAGAAGAAGCAAAGGAAGAGCCTGTCAACTTCTCTGTTGACCAGCCTGAAGAAAATTAAATATATTAGATTTAAATGGAGCTTTAAGTTTCTTTTGTGTTCTAATGTGGAAAAGAGTTAAGAATTTTAATTTTAATAGCTTAAAATGAGTCGACACCCATATTGCATGCATTCCACACATTAAAATTTGTTTTATATAATTTCTAAATATTTGGCATTAGTTTAATAAAATAAAGGTAGGACAATTTTAGTTTGATTTTTTATAGCTATAAAACTTAGATCTGAATAATCGTTTATATAATTTTTAAGCTTAATTTTGATTGTTGGTGTTAAGGATAATGGATGTGTATTGTTAGTATATCTATTCTAATCATTTGAACTTAAATGCTGCTCTTGGGAGTAAATATTCAAGTGTGCATTAATGTTTTGAATACTTAGCCTAGAAGAGATAAATTGGGCAAGTATTTTGTGCTCTGTGTATTTTTTTACTGCGTTGGACATTGAATAGTAATTTGCGTTAAGATACGCTTAAAGGCTTTTTGTGACCACGTTTCCCTTTGTAGCAATAAAATGTTTTTTACAAAAACTTTCTTCCTGGATTAGCAATTTTAAATGAAACAAGTTCAACAGTTGAATGAGTATTAAAAAGAATTATTTCTCTCTTCTCTCTTACGTTTTATGGCGCATATGCTTACATACTCAGAAAAGAGAAGATGAGATTGATAGATGGTCTATTCTTAAGTCATTTATTTTCAGATGACCATCCAACTATGTCACTGAAAAGCAGTGCTCTTTATTTCTTTAAACCTTTACTCTGGCCAAGGTGTGGTTGACCTTTTGAGAGGGAGACTATTTCAATGAAAATTAGCTTCTTAAAAACTTGGATCGGTATATGGATATATTAAGTAATTTTAAGATATTAAATGGATGAATATAGGCATTTATCGAATTTCAAAGATAGTTTCTCTTTTTGCATACAAGGCTTTTAAAACTAGTTTTTCAAGTCTAATAAGGGTTTATTGTGGTTGGCTAGGTTTGTTTTAAGCTGAGAAAATCCAGTAGGCACTTAAATTCAGTTAAAGGGATTTGGAGCCAAAAAGCACAAGGTTAGTTGAAAACTAGAGATATTTAGAGCCTATCTAGGAGTCTCTGTTTATTTAAATTGGCTTCAGAAAGTCTCTTTGCCCAGGAAGTTCAAATTTTAGGGATAGTAGGACTTGCTCAGCCCTCTTGTTTCTGCCTTTATTTTAAAATATTTGTGGAAGGGCTAAGGTAACAGAATAATAGATCCCTTTGGGTTAGAAGGGAGCCCTGTAGACACAGTGGTTAAAGCAGTCAGCTGCTAAACAAAAGGTCAGCAGTTTGAGCCCACCAGCCTGCTCTGTGGCTTTCGTACTTGGAAACCCTGTGGGGCAGTTCTGCTCTGTCTTATAGGGTCGCTGTGAGTCGGAATCGACTTGACAGAAGTTTGATTGGGTTAGATTAGAATTTGATTCTTTTGACACTAAGTAGGGTGTATATATATTTTTTGTTACTGTTTTTAAGCGTCTAATAATCTGTTTAAGATGCTAAACTTTTGAAAAGAATCCTGTAGAACAATCTGTAACAACTGCTGAGTAAACGTTTTAGAATGAGAGAGGTAGGAAAGAACATTTAAGTAGTAACTTTAGTGGATTCTTTTTTCAGAGTCTCTATGAAAAAAAAGTAAAACCTTTTATACCTTTTATTAGTAAAGTGAATTTTGTTGTTTATCTTGCTGGATAATTTGCAGATGGGCCGTTTAGTTTGCAGGCAGATTAATTTTTGGGATCCTTAGTGTTTATGTTCTCAATGTTTTGTAATAAGGACTTAATGTAAGATCTTTAATTACCTTCAACTTCTTTTATCTAAATATTATTTATTTATTAAAAAGCTAAACATACAGTTCTAATAAACCAAAGAAATGAATTTATAAGTTGCTTTTAAGTCTGTGCTCTGACTCATGGCAACCCCAGTGTGTCAGAGTAGAACCTGTGCTCCAGCAGTTTTCAATGGCTGATTATTTGAAAGTACATTGCCAGGCCTTTGTTCCAAGGTACCTCTGAGTGAACTCGAACCTCCAGTCCCCAGTCTTTCGGTTAGCAGTTGAGCGTGGATGACTAGGGGCTGTCCTATAGTTTTCTCTTTTTATTACCTCCTTCCTCTAATTCATCAGAAAGTCTGTCTATTCTGCTTCAAACATTTATCCACCCATTCTTCCACCTCTACTGCTACCAGCCCAGTCCAAGTCACCATCATCTCTTTCCTGGACTATTGAAATAGCTTATTAACTAATCTTGTGTTCACTCTCACCCTGTTAAACTCAGTTTTCCAGGCAAAACATTTTAAAAACGTACTTCAGATAATGCTGCTCTTCTGCATAGAATCCCTCGTTGGCTTCCCTTTTTACCTGTAAACTTACGGTGATGAGCCTGGCCTAGTTTTCCTACTTTATATTGTGTTGTTCTTTCTACCAGCCATACTAGCCTTCTGTCAGTTTTTTGACAAAGTTCTTCTGTCTCCAGACCTTTGCATTTTCTGTAGCTTATACCTATCAACTTTTCTTGGCTGACTCTATCCTTCAGATCACCTTAAATGTTAGGAAAAGCTTTTCTGTGGAAACTTTAAGAAGTAGCTCTTAAATTTTGGTAAAAGTAAGGATTTGGAGACACCACCCCAAATTTACTAGATCAGACTCTTAGGAGGAGGTGGTGTTTTTTTTTTTTTTTTTTTTTTAATTAATTTTTGGGGAGGTAGTGTATTTTTAACAAGTACCCCAGGTGATTTTGATGGTAGTGGTCAGTGATTGGAGCCCTGGTGGCGCAGAGGTTAAGGGCTCAGCATTAATCAAAAGGTTGGCAGTTTGAATCCACCAGCCACTCTTTGGAAACTCTATGAGGCAGTTCTGCTCTGCCCGCTGAGGTCGCTATGAGTCGAAATTGACTCAATGGCCAGTGGGTTTGGTTTTTTTGGTTGGTCAGTGATTGCACTTTGAGAACATTGCTAAGGCCCTCAAATAAATTTCTAGTGCCTCCAGCTCTCCCATATCAAAGTAAGAGCTTCTGCCCTTTTGAAATCAGGCATAGGTTTGGGGGATTCTCCATAATATTTTACTAAAGCATTAGAATAACTTTAACAGGCCTCTCTGGGAATCAGAAAACTGGGCCATTTTTTTTTTTTTAACCTGTTAGATCATTTAATTCTTCAAACATTGTGAAGTCGTAATAGCAGTAACAGTAGTTTACTCATATAACAATCTTCTGTGTCATTCCCCTACTTGAACTTCTTCATCGGCTCTCCCATAATAGGATAATGTCCAAACCCTTTTAGTGTGGCATATGTGGCTTTATGCATTTTGTTCTTGCCTACTTATCCAGTCTAACTCATCAGTCTTAACATATTGATGTTAACTGCCTGGCCTTGTAAACATTTGACTTTATCATCCCTGCTGCAAGAAAGGTTTCTAGAGCTGTAAGATTTGACTGAATTTTAGATATTATATTTTTATATATTTGTATTTTATAATATGATAACTATTCTGGGAATAAAGTGAAAAAAAAAGAAAATATCTAGAGAAATTTGTGTATCAAAAGTCATGACCACATAGAAAAAAGAACTATGAAGGCAAATGGTGGTCATGTGTGTTGAAACATACGTGAGAATTCTGTTTTTGTCGGCAAGATTATATTTATTGTAGAGGTAGATACTGTCAGGTTATCTTAGGCTTATGTTATTTAACATTTGATTTAGCTACCAAATTGTCCTTATTTTGATACACTCAAACTTGTGACTGTAGTTCGGCATCCATTGTAGTTCTGCTGATGGATAGAAAATAGAGTAGTCATGCCGGCCAAAGTGTTCCAGTCCATGTGACAGTTAGAATTCATATTATAAATTAACAGTTTGACTTTCTTATTTGATAGTTACAGTCCTTTGATCCAAGATAAGCTGCACCTGCCCTGATAATAGCTGGACCCCTATTTGGCAGGCAAGCAAAATTAGGGAGGCTGCAAGGCTAGAGGGCAAATTCTTGGCAGTTGTAGATACAGTAGGCACCCATACCCTGTGAGGCCTCCTGGGAAACAGCCATACTAGTCTTGTCCCATATTTCCCTTGCCCTGATTTTCTGAGTTTTTGTTTTTTCACTTTTCTTCTTTAAAATAATTAAAAATTGTACATTAAGGGTAGGAATGAAGTGGTGTTGATGACAGTGGGAGTCATTCTGTTCAGCTAGAGATGCATGAACAGAGAGGTGTGAAACAGCATTGAACATGGAGGGAAACTACAGGCAGCTTAGCTCTTAAATGAGTAGAAGATATGAATCTGGGGGAGTTTCAGATCAAGGTGACATACTGGTTTCAAGTCATTATCTTCTAAAACTTAAAATTATAGAACAACTACAACAATAAAAAATTAACAGTAATTAAGATAAACTTATAACCGTACTAGAAGGACAACAAGGGTGCTGCGAATCATTTCTAGAAAATATTAAATGAGGAATCAGATCTTGGTGAAACCAGGAATTCTATCTTAGTTCATAGCTACATCCAGATGAAAATTAAGGATTTGCCCCCATTTTTAGATGTAGCTATAAGCAGGGAGGCCACCTAGGTAGTGAATTGGTTAAGTGCTTAGCTACTAACCGAAATGTTGGCAGTTTGAGTCCACCCAGAGGTGCCTTGGAAGAAAGGTCACACTGAAAACCCTATGGAGCAGTTTTGCTGTGACACATATGGGGTTGCCATGAGTCAGAATCTACTTGAAGGCAGTTGAAATAAACAGGGATAGGTGGTAGTGTGGTAGGCCAGATTTTTAAAGGGCTGAATAATTATGCCACTGCCTGGTTCAGATCTGCTGGTCCATAGATTCCTCCAGGCTAAAGCCATAGTACAGCTTGCTGTTTGCCAGATAGTGTGAGACTTCTGATATGGTAGACTCCCAGAGCATACCATGTAGGGGCCATAGAAGTGTGGCAGTGCCCCAGATGTTTTGTGGATACCACAAGGGTCTATGATTCCCCACATTGAGAAGATAGGCAGAAAACAAGCAACCCTGGCTGTTTCCCATTTTTCCTACTGACTGCTCCTCTCTCTTCCTTGCCCAATTAAAATGCTAGATTTCCTCTAATCAGAATCTGCCAGGGAAAGGGAATTTTTTACTCAAGCTGAGAAAATAAACTTTGGGGAACAATACTGAAAAATCTAGAGGTTGGCAAACTACCATCTGTAGCCCTCCCAGGCCTGTTCTTGTATAGATTTTAAATTTTTAAAGGGTTATGGAAAACAAGCAGAGAATATGTGACCATATGTAGACTTCAGAACCAAAAATACTGTCTGGCCCTTTACAGAAAAAGGTTGTCAGCCCTCAGGACCTCATTTGCAAATATGGGCAAACAACCAAGAAACAAACATTTGGGGAGAAGAGCAACGTGAAAGGTAGTAAATTCAACAAGCAGAAATAATTCATGGGGAAACAGTGAAGGGAAAAAAAAAAGGTATTTTATGTAATCCTTATAAATATCATTACGTATTATGTATCATTTTAAGAGATTTGAGAGGATATTGCACTAATTAAAACATGCAAACTGAAAAACATCTTGGAAATAGTTGCTAAAATAAAAATCTCTATTGTAGACTAATTAGTTGAATAAATATGACTGAAAATCAAATTATTGAGCTAGAATTTTGAGCTGATGAGTACTCCCAGAATCTTATGCAAAAGGTCAAAGAGATGGAAGTTGTGAGAAAATTAATGAGCCAGAAGATCCAGGAGGATGCCATCCATTTAAAAGTAAACTTCGTGAGATTCGGAGCCATAAATACAGAGAATTCACCATTGAATACCCTGCATATATCATAGTGCCAGGCACGTTGTAAGTACTTAATGAATATTTTTGAGTGAATGAGTTTCAAAAGGCTAGAACAGAAAAAAAAAATTGAGAAGAAAGAAAAAATTATTCTGGTGAATGACCTATTAAAGGGCCCGACATGCTGAGCAAAAACAATGAAAAAGGAGACATACACTTGGATAAATTCTGATGAAATTTCTGTAATCCCAAGGTGTGTGTGTGGCAGAAGGGATCTCAGAACATTCAAGAGAAACAATTTACCTATAAGGGGAAAAGAATCACATTGGTCTCAGACTTCTCATCTGTAAATTGGGATGCTAGAATACATATTTAAAGTTACAAGTGAAATTTTAGAACATGCAAGGATTCAGAAATTAACAGTCATGAAACTACTCAAAAACAGTATCAAATTATGTAAAGAAAAACCAGGATAAATGAGAATGGACAAACACGCAGTCATAGCTAAGTTCGAACACAGCTCTCAGAGATTATCAAAGAATTGAAAATTGAAACTTTGATTTATACAAATCACAAATTTCAATAGTTACATTTCTTTTCAGATACTGCTAAAATGTGATTGTAAAGCAGACAACAAAAAAATTTTTTTTGTTAAGTAGAAATCATGCAGGCTCCATCCTGTCATCACAATGCAGTAAAGCTGGAAATTAACAAATCAATCACAATAAATTAATAAAAAATCTAATCAATGAAAAAACACTCCTAATGCTTAAAAAGAAAACCTTAATTAGACCTATTGACTGTACTTGAAATGGTAGACAAATACTTACTGTCTTAAATACAAACATTTCAACACAAGCAAGTTTGTAAGTAAAAACAAATTCATGAATCTAGCAAAGCAATAATGAAAATAAAGTAGAAGAAATTAATAGAGATAAAGTAGATCTTTAAGAAAGAGATTATTTTTTGAAAGCTGTTCCAGATGATAAAAAAAGCTGAAACATCTACCAGTTTGGTCTCTGAGGCTATAGCATAACCCTTATTCCAGAAAATTGTCTATCAAAGAAAACTGTAGACCAATATCACTTAGCAATAAACTTGTAATCATTG